TAGTTTAAAATCTTTTCTAGTTAGAGGTCTGCTTAGATTTTTCTTTCTACTTGGGTCAGTTTTTTAATTTGTTAATTTTTCTAGACATTACTCCAATTTGCCTGGGTTATCTATTCTGTTCGTGTATAATTGTTCATAATATTACTTTGTAATCTTTTTTTTTCTGTAAGATCAACAGAAATGTCCTGTTGTTTATTCTTGATTTGAATAATTTAGAAACTTCTACTTTTTTGCTCAGTCTAACTGAAGTTTTCTCAATTTGTCGATCTTCTCAAGAGCCAAATTTTATTTTTATTGATGTTCTGTTTTGTTAGACTTTTTATTTATTTCTGCTTTAGATTTTTATTATTTCCTTTGCTTGCTTTGTATTTTGTTTGGTCTTATTTTTCTGGTTTCTTAGGTGAGAGGTTGAGATTTTTCTTTTTTAATTTTAAATGTGCACAGGAATAAATTTCCCTCTTTACACTGTGTTAGTGTATTCCATTAGTTTTGACATATTGTTTTTGAGTTTTCATTTGTTTCAATTTCTGGCCAACTTGCCTGCCTTCTTTCCTTCCTTCCTTCCTTCCTTCCTACTAAGGATTGAACCCAAAGGTACTTTAACACTAAGCTATAGCCCCACCCTTTTTATATTTTGTTTTGAGGCATGGTCTCACTTAGGTGCTTAGACCAGCCTTAAACTTGTGATCCTCCTGCCTCAGCCTCCCAAGTACTGGGAATATGGGAGTATACTACCATGCATGGACCAATGTGTTTTCTAATTTCTCTCATGATTTCTTCTTTAATCAATCAATTTGTCACTTAGAACTATGTTGTTTAATCTCTACGCATTTGTGAATTCCCCAGTGTTCTTCTCTTGTTGGTATCGAATTCCATTTTATTGTGTTACAGAACATATTTTATATGTTTTTGTACCTTTAAAGTTGGTTGGAACTTGTTTTATGGCCTGACATATGGTCTGGGCAGGAGGCGGCTCCGCAGGTCCTTGGGGCGAGCGTGAGTCCTGCTGACCTTGAGTGCAGAGTTCTCTGTGGGCCCGTTGGGTCTTGGTCAGGTCTCCTGTTTCCCGTTGATCTTCTGTCCAGTTGCTCCACTCTCCAGCCTTCTGTCCGGGCTTCACGTGACCAATGGTTGTAGTCACCCTGGGTTATTTTTGCTTTTGGAGGTTTGTTCT